AAAATTCAAATATGGATTGCTAGACATTTTAAAGCTGAGTATTTGATATTAATACTACAACTGTGCCCTTTTCAATTCTGTCTGTTACCAGACTCCCATCTTATAACCTGTTTCACCTGATGGTCTTGAAATGACAACAGCATTGGGTGGCTGTTGATCTGCTGCCTGTACATATAACATTAACAACTCTTTTACGTCTTTAAGTTAACTTTAATATTTAAAATACCTTGGAAACCATTTCCTTCCTTTGCATGCTTGGGTACAAGGTAAAACGGCTTTAGTCTTAGTTGCTGCCTAACTTTTGCTGAAAGCCAGTTTTTAATGGCCAGGCCTTCTTTGGTGCTGGCAGGCCAGCTAGTTTTTAATTCCAAAGCCAGGGTTATATCCACAGATATTTCTTTATTAATAAGAAGTGTTACAGCAGGGCTCCCTCGTCTTTTCCTCTTCATGATGACATCTGTATCTGGTTGAACATATAAAAGAAAAGAAAGTATTAATCCAATTTTCTCTAGAAATACAGAGGAAATAATATAACTATAATTGAAGATCTCTGGTGTGCTAAGTATAAAGTAAACATTGGTGGTAAAACAGAAACTGGTTCTAAAAGGCAAAATGCTTTACTAAACCAATATTGGCCGGTAATATCACGCCTGTAATCACAGCACTTTGGAAGGCCAAGATGGGATGATCACTTGAGGTCAGGAGTTTGAGACCAGCCTGACCAACATGGAGAAACTTCATCTCTACTAAAAATACAAAAATTAGCTGGGCATGGTGGTACATGCCTGTAATCCCAGCTACTCAGGAGGTTGAGGCATGAGAATCGCTTGAACCCAGGAGGCGGAGGTTGCAGTGAGCCGAAATCACACCACTGCACTCCAGCCTGGTCGACAGATTAAGATTATGTCTCAAAAAAGAAAAACAAAAAAACCCACACAATAATTAATGATATCTCCCATGAGGAGGCATTGTCAAGATGGTGTGGGGCATCTATGATGAGGGGGTCTCTGTAGACTTTGAGGTTTAAGAGTGCTGTGATTAAATTTTCTTTTCTTTTCTTTTTTTTGAGACGGAGTTTCGCTCTTGTTGTCTTGTTGCCCAGGCTGGAGTGCAATGGCACAATCTTGGCTCACGGCAACTTCTGCCTCCCGGGCTCAAGCAGTCCTCCTGCCTCAGCCTCCTGAGTAGCTGGGATTACAGGCATGTGCCAAAGCGGCTCGTTAAATTTTCATTACAAATTATAGATGGCAGAATGGAGGGAAGCCTAGAGAAGAGGCCAGATGGGCAAGAGGGAAGAGACAGGCAGCGAAAAGACCACAGCAACAGCCCGGCACAGAGGCTGGGTGCCATGGCAGCACAAAGGCAGTGAGCATCAAGACACGGGGGAAGAAATGAGAGCAACTAAAGAAGTACAAATCAACATAACTGGTCATGAGTTGAGTATGCTGTGAGGAGAAAAGTAGGAGCCTTGGGATGCCATCCCAGGATCTTGGCCTAGGAAGTGACTGATGTTGGTTCCATTCCCCAAAACAGAATAAGCAGGAAGAAGAAAGACTGGGCCAAGCTGAACTTCATGAGATACAATGAGCTCTAGATACCTATGGGACACTCAAGTGGGGATGGTTGCTGGGTTGGTGGCTATGGTCAGAAATGTAGATGGCTTTGGGAGTTGGGGGTATATAAGCAGTAAAGACTACTACTCTCAGATAAGACTTCCACAGTGAGGAAGTAGAACACAAAGGAGAAAATACTAGAAAAATCTGCAAACCTGGCCACCTGTTACCCAAACCTGGCCACCTCTCCTGTTACCACTGAGGAAGTAAGTGTCCATCTACCTTACTTTTTTTGAGACAAAGTCTGGCTCTGTAGCCCAGGCTGGATGGAGTACAGTGGTGTGATCTCAGCTCACTGCAACCTCCACCTCCCAGGTTCAAGTGATTCTCCTGCCTCAACCTCCTGAGTAGCTGGGATTATAGGCAAGCACCACCACACCTGGCTAATTTTTGTATTTTTAGTAGAGATGGGGTTTTACCATGTTGGCCAGGCTGGTCTTGAACTCTTTTTCTTTTTTTTTTTTTTGAGACATAATCTTAATCTGTCGCCCAGGCTGGAGTTGCAGTGGCGCGATCTCGGCTCACTGCAAGCTCCGCCTCCTGGGTTCCCGCCATTCTCCTGCCTCAGCCTCCTGAGTAGCTGGGACTACAGGCGCCCGCCACCGCGCCCGGCTAATTTTTTGTATTTTTAGTAGAGACGGGGTTTCACTGTGGTTTCGATCTCCTGACCCTGTGATCCGCCCGCCTCGGCCTCCCAAAGTGCTGAGATTACAGGCGTGAGCCACCGCGCCCGGCCTGTCTTGAACTCTTGAGCTCAAATGATCTGCCTGCCTTGGCCTCCCAAAGTGTTGGGATTACAGGTGTGAGCCACCATACCTGGCCCTCCATCTACCTTTCAAAGGCCACCTCTGCACATGGTCTCTGGATCCCTTCCTTCTCAACTTCTCAAGTACCATGCTGTTCAACTATTCCCTCTCCTACATCAGCAACCTCTCCCTCCCTGCTAGATTATTCTGAAATTCATACAGAGGGTTACAGGGTATACCTCTCCTTTCACCCCATATCTTCCTCCTCTCCATACTCACCCATCTTCTGCTTCCTTCCAGCCCAAACTTTTTTTTTTTTTTTTTTTTTTTGAGACAGGGTCCCGTTCTGTCACCCAGGCTGGAGTGCAGTAGCATGAACATGGCTCACTGCAGCCTCAACCTCCTAGGCTCAAGCAATCCTCTTGCCTCAGCATTGTATGTAGCTGGGACCACAGGCACGTGCCACCACCCCTGGCTAATTAAAAAACATTGTTTTTCTTTTTTTTCTGAGACAGAGTCTTGCTCTGTCGCCCAGACTGAAGTGCAGTGGCGCAATCTCAGCTCACTGCAACCTCCGCCTCCTGGGCTCAAGCAATTCTCTTGCCTCAGCTTCCTGAGTAGCTAGGATTACAGGTGTGTGCCAACATGCCTGGCTAATTTTTGTAGTTTTAGTAGAGACAGGGTTTCATCATCTTAGCCAGGCTGGTCTCGAACTCCTTATCTTGTGATCCGCCCACCTCGGCCTCACAGAGTGTTGGGATTACAGGCGTGAGCCACCACGGCTGGCCTAAAAATTTTTTTTGTAGAGATGGACTCTCACTTTGTTGCCCAGGCTGGTCTTTAACTCCTGGGCTCAAGCGATCCTTCTGCCTTGGCCTCTCAAAGTGCTGAGACACCACACTCAGCCCAGTCAGAACTTTCTAGAGTGGCCTACACATGTTATCTCCACTGCAACCCTGCCTTTCACTCCATATCCATCACCCCACTGACATTTCTCTTGTCAACCCCAGAAGACCAAAGAACCCCACAAGACCAAAGACCAAATCCAATGGATTTCTGGATGTCAGTAGCATTCCAAACACTGGCTGCTCCTTCTACAAAACACTCATATTCTCCTTTTGCTCATTCTCTTCTTCCCAAACTCTAATGGAATTCTCTTCTTACCACCCTACTTAACATTGCAACTTCCCCCTGACCTCCATCTCTCACATTCCTGATCCCTCTCACTTTGCTATACTTCTTCACAACAGCACTTACTACTTTCTAGTATACAAGATAATCATTTTTTCCATTTGTTATTAATTGTATGCCTGTGCTTGCAAGATTATAAAGTACAGAAGGGTAGAGGTCTTCATCTAATTGTTCACTAATGAATCCTAAATAACTAGAACACCTACACGTTAGATAATAGATGAATATTGATTAAATTAATGGATGTATGAATTTACACTTTCTGCCTAGGTATTTCATCCATTCCCAAAGCCACCTATATGATGATGACTCCCAAATGTTTACTTGCAGCCCAAAGGTATCCTTTGCACTCCAAACCTATATCCAGCTACAAACTTAACACATCCACTTTGATGTTGATGTACCACAGGAATCTACAACCAAACATATCCAAAGCCAATAAACATAACTTAATTCATATACCAAAGTATGTTTTGCCTCAGTCCGTCCCATCTCAGAAAATGGCACAATCAATCCACCCAGATGCACCATCCAGAAACCTGGGAACCATCTTAATTTAATCCTCCCTCTTACCCCCTATGCTTAATCCAGCTGCAAGTGCTGCTACAGCTTGGACCTGTCTGCTGCTCCAATCCCAGCACCCTACTCCCACCCCATCTAAGCTGCCACCATCTTTTACCTGAACTATTACATCATTTTCCTTTCTAATCTTCCTATTTGCCTTCTTATAAAATCTATCCTCAGAAGCCAGAGTAAATGTTTAAAAATACAAAGCCAGTCATTACTCTCTGATGAAAACCTGGCTTCTCAATGATCAGATAATAAAACCTGGTGCTGGGCGCGGTGGCTCACTCCTGTAATCCCAGAACTTTGGGATACTGAGGTGGGTGGATCACCCGAGGTCAGGAGTTTGAGACCAGCCTGGCCAACATGGAGAAATCCCATCTCTACTAAAAACACAAAAATTAGCCGGGCGTGGTGCACACGCCTGTAATCCCAGCTACTTGGGAGGCTGAGGCAGGAGAATTGCTTAAACCTGGGAGGCGGAGGTTGAGGTAAGCCGAGATCAGGGCCATTGCACTCCAGCCTAAGTGACAAGAGTGAAACTCCATCTCAAAATAAAATAAAATAAAAATAAAATAAAATAAAATAAAATAAAATCTGGCCAGGCATAGTGGCTCACACCTGTAATCCCAGCACTTTGGGAAGCTGAGGCGGGTATATCATGAGGTCAGGAGTTCAAGACCAGCCTGGCTAAGATAGTAAAACCCCATCTATACTAAAAATACAAAAATTAGCCAGGCGTGGTGGTGGGTGCCTGTAATCCCC